CAGTACGAAAGTAAATGAGCACCATTTGAAATGAGTTCTCTGAGAAATATTTCACGTGTCTTGTACAACGAGTTGATGATGATGTTCATAAGACGACTAACTTCCGTCTGCACATCAAAAACTTTTAGTAAATAAAACTCGGTGGTTCTTTATTTTACAATTGGTAATTACCTGGAATTCGAATGTTTCTTTCTCTTCTGGTTGTTCACTCGTGTCTACTTTGCCGTCTGATCCAAAATTGGTTTCATCTTGTACCAAAAATTCTTGTTTTTCACTTGGTGGGTTTGCTTCGTCCAAGGCCGAAACATTGAGGGGAAATTCGGCAAAATATGTGATTAGACAGGTTACAAATATGAGAAGCCAAAGTCTGGACTTCATTTTGTTCTAACTCAACTAGACGCCTGTGATTAATTGGGCTTATTAAATTTCTTAATGGACGATGAGAAGAGTAGAATTAATGGGAACAATATCGGAACTTGAATTTATAGCTTTTCATGTTGTCGTGTAAGATTTCAATTGGGTATGCACTCGTATAAACATCCAGGTGTCGGGATTTCATTGGTTCTAATGCCTATAAGAATTTGCTAGAATATTTGCCACCTTGTTAATTTTTTATCACCTAAAAAAGTACTTATTGAGATTATTCTTAGCATTTCTGAAACGTTACCTTTTGCGAAAAGAAAGGTCACATGAAAAACATTCATTACCACACTAGCCAGTACTTTCTTTATACGGTACATCGAAAGACTAAATTCAATTTTTCTTATTCGTAAATAAAAAAAAATTTTTTTTTTGAAATTTTCCGATCACTGATCTAAGAAAAAAAAAAGTGAACGGCTTTAATAAGAACACACAATCATTACTATCAGATACAAGAGAAATCACACGGTCTAGAAACCATTTCAAATTTTATAAAAAATTTTTATAAATAAAAAGTTATAATAAAAAATTTTACTAAAAAAATTTATTTAGGTTTTATTATTAGCAATATTTTTCTATTAAGATAAATACAGTATTTCTCATGATGTTTATTCATAAATAAATGTAATTACATATGACATAATTGATAGTAAGATATAATATATATGTATAATAAATATACTGTATATTGTATATTTGTAATCATCTGTTATTCTATAGTAGATATATTTTTTAAATAAATTTTTGGCAAGAAAAAAAAAATTATTTATTTATATCTTAATATTAGAATAAAAAATAATAAAGCTTCTCTATATTTAATAATAAAAAAAATTATTTAATATAATTGATTAATATTGATTATCTTGAAATATTTGATATTTGTAAAAGATTATAATTAATTTTAAATGTTTAGATGACTAGATATTATTTATCGTTAATAAAGAAAAACTTTATTAATTTAGAAAAAAACCAAACAACTTTATTATTTCTTTTTCAAAAAAATCTTTTTTATATATAATAAATAAATAAAAAAAAAATATAAAGTATAATAAAATACTGTATATATAGTTTTTTTTTAAAAAAAAAAAAAATCCACAATCAAACTAATATTGTTTTATTTATTAAATTATCGAATTATTACAAGTATAAGAATACAAATAAAGTATAAATCTTCATAATTTAGCTTATCTATCAATAGCTAAAGTCTTTAATATAATTTATAAAAATAATATATTATTCCTTTAATAAATAGGATTAAGATTCAAAACTTTCAATAGAATCAAAACCTGCAAATTATTTCTATAATTATAACTATAAACTCAAATTATATTAATTTATTCTTATAAAAACTATATAAGAAGAAAAAAATAAAAAAAATTTTAAAAAAGGAAAAACAATACAAGTATATACAAAAAAAAAGATAATAAAAATAGAAAAAAAATTATCATTTATTTTAGTTATTATTAAAAAGATTATTTCTATAAATAAAAACATTTTCACTTTACTTGTATCTAACAAAAATCTATTATAAAAGAAAATCAAAATTTCAGTAATTACCTATAGGCCATATTATAACAACAAACTGGTTCCTGAACCCAGCATATTTAAAACCTGATTTTCCTCATCACATCAAATTATTCATATCTTACTTTTCAATTAAACCTGAATATGAATATACCTATGAGGTATAAGTTAATATTTTAGGTAAAAATATAATAGACTAGAATTAATTTCTACAAATGAATAGTATAGGATTCTTAATATACTGATTATAAACTTAAAGTTTAATAAATATCGTATATTTAATGCCTATTCACATTAAAAAAAAAAATTTTCAACAATTAAAAAACACTAAAAGATCTTGAAAAAACTTTATTCAAGACTTGTTTAAACAATCATAAGTTCATTTTTTTAAATGTTCTCATAATCAATATCTTAAATCTATAAGCTGTTATTATTTACAAAAACATTAAAACAAATAAAATTTTCACTTCCAATTTATCCCTAACAATTAAATTATTATAGCCAGGAAACTATCTACAAGTCTAACTTACTCCAGTTTGCTTTATTATAAATGATTCTGAAATTTCAAAAATTATAACTGTTTCTTTCAAACTATATAGAAAAAGTATTTTCTTATTTCTAGCAATGTCTGTAAAAATATCTCTTCTTAATCCAATATCAATGAATACTTTCAACTTCTTCCTCAATTTCCAAAACTTTTTTGAAATTACAGATACTAACAAAATTAGTTTTATAAAGGAAATAATAAAACAAAAACTAAATTACAATCTTTATATATCCTAGAATAAACTGAACATTCAGTTTAATAAAAATAATAACATATTTTTCCTATTTTAAAATATCAAAACCTTCAAACTCCTTCAAATATATTTGTTTTAATAAGGTAATAAGTAATGACAATGAAATACAAGATGATTATTCTTCTGATATATTATAAGTATACAACATAATAATTACCAATAAAATCCTATTTAACAAGACATATACAGAAATAAAAATTGATATATTATATATAATACATTAACCACCTCCTTAATATAATTAAATTCAATTTCAGTTATGACTATTATCTCTTGAGCTAATGAAATTAATAACAATAAAGTCAATATCAAATTTAATACATTATTAACAATTGAGGAAGACATTAAGAAAATTAATTCACTTGAAAAGTATTTTAAAATTCTTAAATACTACAAAAAAGTTGACAAATATAAAAAAAATATTAATATAATTATTCAATGGTTTTTTAATATCAGAATGAAAGAACCCTTTAAAATAAAATCAATAAACAAAACCATTATAACAAAAATTGGATATAGAGATTGCAACTTCTTCAGAACCTTTATTAAAAAAATATTCTTGAAAGATCAATATCAAATTAAATATAAAAATATAAAAAAGTTTTTCACAATAACTATTTAAAAGTTAATAACATTAAATATATTAACAAAACAACCAGGAAAAAAATTAAAACAATCATTAATAAAGTTCTTTTCATCACTTTTCTAAAATTCACAGATCTCACTATCTTTAAATACTAACAAATAGCTTAACTCTTGAAATATAACTTCAACTTTTTCATTAATCCAATATCTGAAAAACTAAACTATTAAATTTTATTCTTAAAATATGAGAAAGCTATTAAAAACAAACTTCTCTTACTATTTACTTTACCTGATCACATTTTTGTCTCAATTAAAATCAAGCTTCCAAATGTTTTTCCTATTATTTTCTCTAGACATATAAATAATATGGCCAGTAGCCTCAGAATAGGGCTCCTAATGGTATCACTTCAATATCAGTTTGATACCAATTCAATATTTAAATTTACTATAAATTCATATGAGTAGGTCACAATTCATATATTAAATTTACTATAGATTGGTACCATTTTGATATCATTTCAGATCAATTTGATACTTTTTAGAATTCTATCTCAGAGTTTATTACAATTTTGACCAGCTTTCTACTTTATTTTTTATCAGAGACCAATTATTTCTGACAATCCCTCTGATTTTAAATCTGAAGTTAAAATGCTATTTCCTCTTATTAAGCAAAATAATCTTAGAAATCTCAAAAACTTATTAACAAATTAAAAGACCATTATTATATTTTTTTTAAACTGTCAGATTCTTATTTCAAGCTTTTCCTATCAAAATCAATATTACTCTCATTCTATATAGATTTATTTTTTGAATTTGCATATCACTTTTCAATAAAAAACAGCTTAGAAGTCATCTGCTTAGTAATGAATCTTCTCAAAACTAATAACTATATCATTAGGCAGCTTCCAATGGATTATATTCAAGTTAAATACCTATTTCTATTAGCCTATTAATTCAGCAAAAACAATTCTATCTTCTTGTCAATTTGATTTCAAAAAGATATTAAAAATCTTATTCAATCTATTCAAACAGAAATTCTTTTTCAAGTTGCCATTAGAATCAGAATGGATTAATAAAAACTTAGTTCAAGATAAAAAACCTTATATCCTGAACAATATGAAAGAACTCAAAAACCAATTCAATATCATGGATAAACAATTATATAGAGACTTACCTATCTTTTTACAAACAATCAAAAAAATCAAAATACATATCAGAATTTAATTTTATAAGAATAGATCTTATCCTTCTTTCAAATCTGCCTTCAATAGCTGAAAATAAAAAATAGCTAAAGAAAATTAAAATTAATATAATATTTCTATTAATTAAAGACTAATACTTGATCACCATTATAAAATTGCTCAAGACCCATTTCTATTTTGACAAACTTTTATCAATCTTTATAATAAAAAAAGAGTAACCTGATTTAAGACTAACTTTTCTTTTCTACTTTTTTTAAATATGACAATAGCAAATATATTCAACTGTTTATCCTTTTTTATATTATCTTCTCAATCCAATCCTTTCTTAAATATTAAAAACCTTCTTACAATATTTATATTTAATGTTCAAGGGCTAAATCAAAAAGAAAAGATTAATGAAATTATCAAATTCATTAAAAATAAAAGAGCAATCTTCTACTATATTGAAACTAAATCCATAATAAATAATCCACTATCTAATAGAATAAACAACAAAATCATTATCTCCAATAAACCAAACTCAATAGCTAGTAGTAGCATATATATAATTTTTATTATGAAGATATCCTGCCATATCTTTAGTACCTATACTGAAATAAATACTAGTGTGTTACCTATTTTAAGTTCAAATCCAAGATAGATATTATCATTATTTCAATATATCTGCCTCACAAAAAGTCAAACAGGACTGAGACACTCAATTTCTTAGGAAGTTCTTAAATTAATATAGAAACAAACTCTTAATAATTACTAAAGACTTCAACTCTTATTTCAGAAAATTACTCTCTATAAATATATTATCTTCTTTTTATAAATAGAAAATCTATAGACATTTTACAAACTTAAT